AGTTGTGACTAAAAGCCCAACTGTGTTTTCTTTTCATTTTGAAGCCACCCGGGAAACAGAATGTAGGGTAAGCCAATATGCACTAGCCCCAAATCTTCTAATTCTGTCTGTCTTGTTTAATGTGGAGCCTCAAAGCAAGCAAGTTTCCGGTTGGGCACATGGTCAGGCTCTGTTTACTCAGCTGAGGTGACAGCCTGTGCTGTATTGCTAATGGAGTAGACAAGCTTCTAGAGCCTTCCCCGTGGAGAACGCTGCCATCTGAAACCCATTAACTAGGCCTACCCTCCAAACTTTGCATATGGATGCTTAATGCTTAATTCTTAACAGATGGCTTTTTCAACAATGTGGGGCTTCCATTTCCTCATGATCCCTGAGGGTGCTCCAGCTGCCTCTCCAGCATGGCAGAATATCACTTAATTTCTTCCTCGCTCGTCGTCTGTGGGAGACAGGGCTACATTCCTCCTGCTCAGTGCCCTGGCTCCTTTGCCTCCTTTACTAGATGCTCTTCTTATTAACAAAGACTAAATTTCCCTTTAAAAGTGGCCAGACCATTTAAAAACATTTCAGTCACTCTGTTAGCCAATTTTATATTGTTGAAAGATAGAACATAAGACTTAAAACTAAGAGTTGGGGGTGGGGTGTAGAGAAAAAGGGCTCAGCAGATCCGAGCACTGGCTGCTCTTACAGAGGACCTGGTTCTATTCTCAGCTTTCACATGGCTGCTCACAACCACCTGTATCTCTGGCTCCAGGGAAATCTGATGCCCTCTTCTGGCCTCTGTGGACACTGCAGGCATATGGTATATTCAGGCAAAATATTCAGGCAAAATACACAGAAAAATAAAGGTTGGAAAGATGGTTCTTTGGTTAAGAGCACACACTGCTCCTGTAGAGGACGTGAGTTCCGTTCCTACCACCCACATGGGGCAGCTCACAGCCACCTGTAAGTCCAGGTTCAGAGGATCCAGTATGCCTTCTGTCTTCCACAAGCATCCACACACATACATACATGCATACATACATACAATATATATACATCTTCCAAAAAATAATAACTCTTTAAAACTAAAAATATGTAGATGTATTTTGAGCTCTTTGTAAATATAAGAAATTTAAGAATTCTTAAAAAAGGGGGTTGGATGCAGTCTGCTTTTGGGATAATGAGTACTTGTTGCTTTTGTAGAGGACCTGTGTTTTTAGCACCCACATGGCACCTACAACTTCCTGTAACTTCAACTCCAGAGGATCCCACACCTTCTGGTCTCCTTGGCTACCTGCATTCATGTAACCCTAACCCTAACCCTAGTTTAAAAAAAAATCTTTTTTACACAAGTAAAAAAAAAATCTTTAAAAAGGGAAACTGTAAGAAATCAGCCAGGCATGTCTGTGCACACCTGTACTCCAAATCACACGAGGCTGAAGCAGGAGGACCATTTGAGCTCATGGATTAGAAACTACCTGGGTGACATAGTGAACCCCAACTCACCAAAGCAAAAATACAAGAGACTTAACCATTAATTGAATAGAACTTCTCAGTTCTTTGGCATTTGGCAGGATTAAGGGGAAATGTGGAGAACTCAGCCCCTGGAAGGAATTGGAGAAGGGGTGAGAACCAGTAAAGCTTTAAATTGGAATTTGATACTAGGATGATCTTTTGGCTCTCATAACTGCAGCTAATAAGTCTTGCATCATTTCCTCAGCTCCAGCTCTACAACCCTGACTTGACCGGTCCATCTCTGAACTCAAGCTCCTTAGGGAGTCCATCAAACTGCTCGGCCAATTCTCACATGTTCAGGGAGGAGCTAGGTGTCGTATTTTCCTGTGCATCTATCTCATTGCCAAGCCCCAATCTCCGTGTATAGTGATTCACTTTCATTAGCATTTACCGCTTCCTGTTGCTTGAGTACCAGTCGTGGTGCCCATGCCTGTTCCTATCCTCTGCCTTGTGTTCCCCTGCCTTACTGACCCAGTCTGTGGGCACAGGGCTACTGACATTGGTGTGCCTTTCGTTTTCCGAAGTAACCCTTGGTTATTTTCAGCCTACCTCTGTCTTTGCTGCATGTGAGGCTCGGCCTTGAATGCAGCTGATATTGAGGGAGCATCCCCATGCTGTCCTTCCTGGCATTTTCACTACATTGCTTCATTCGCTCATCTGTGCGTGTCTGAGTCTCACCATCTTTAGACATAATTCTCCCTCTGGGCAGCTTCACAGGGCTTGGATTTGGGGTATAGCCTCAGGATTCCTGACGGGCTGTGAGCTCGTCTGGTGCAGGGGCCTCCCTTTATAGACCCTGTCTTCTTCTTCCCCAGTAGCATGAAGCAGCATGTATTAAATGTTAAGTATAATCGTGCTCTGGAAGCAGAGGCATAAGATCTTAGATTAGTGTTGTTGTTGAGCAGAGCGTATGAATCATTAAAGTGGTTTGTACTTTCCTGTTATTTAGTAAGTACATTCTCTCTTGGCCTTGCCAAATTTGAATCTGAAAACTTCCTCTCGCCATGGTTCCATTTAAGCAGCATGTACCCTTTCCAGTTTTATTTTTTTAATGTTAATTCTGCTTTCTTGTTTCTGTATGCCTGTAGACTCTTCCTGTGTCCTCTCTATTGGTGGGACGGTTGGCATTTGTCACTTTACCTGGGGAGTCATAGGCTTCTGAGAGCCTTGGCTTTCTTGATGGCTTATGTACTTTCCTGGGGAGTTACACGGAGGCTGTCTAGCACAGTGCTTTGGTACTTGCTTCAGTGTTTTATTAAGTCCAACTAGCTGCTCATAACATGGCGGGGGTGGGGTGGGGAGGACACTATTCCATAATCTGCAGTCACCCTCCTATGACAGTGTTGGCCTTGTTGAGCTTGAGATGATGATGCAGCTCAGTAGCTGGTGACATGGAGTCTCGGCTTCCACCTGTGCCTTCATCACTGTTCTCTGTTGCTAGAACACCACCGGTGGCTGTGAGGAGCTCAATAGCAGATATGACCCCTTTCCCTCCAGAGTAAGTTTGGATACAGAAAGAACCATTGTTTAATCCAGGAATGTTGTTGAGGCAGATATGAGCAGGGCTTACCACACATTGTGAAGACATTCCTTCCAGGAGTCATAGTAAGCCCTCCGGACTCTTCTGTCCCAGCCCTCCCCAGATGCCAGTCTGCACAGGGCTTGCTAGGGAGACATGCCACCGTTGCTTATGCTTGTTCCTGTGTGGGGTACAGCTGAAATTCTCTCATTATTCAGCAGATGCTTGTTAACCTCTGCGGTGCCAGATTTTCAGCTAGGTTATTGGCTACAAAGCAAGCAAGGCCCTTTTGGAACTGACCTTAGTGGGTGGGACATGTACCAACCCACTTCCCACATAGGATCCTACAGCCATCCCAGGAAGGCCAGGAGCGCCCAGTGCTTCCTGCTCAGACCGCCAGTATCCTGTCCGTGTCCCTCTCTACGCCGTCACGGGGCCTCTGGCTTTCTCTGTGTTCCTCTCCCCACTAGAGTGAGAGTTGATTCCTTTAGATATTGAGACAGGTGTGCTTTTGGATTCTTTGGGTATTTAAATTGACTTATGTACTTGCCTTGTTCTGTCCAGGTAAACCTAGTACTGTGCTATAAAATAGACGCCACAGAAGTTAGAATTGTAGTAATTGCTGGAGAGGAAACAGATAAAACCAGATGTAGCGAAAGATCCTGCTGTCTGCTGGAGGGACTCCGTATCTCTCAACTCCTGGTTTCATAGTCTGTGGTACAGAGCAGGAAGCCGCCATTGCTGTGCTGGACGGATTGGACATGAATGGAAGGAAAAGAAAGGAAAAGGACTGAGAACCCGGGCTGCCCTGTGTGTCACATAGCAGTCCCTGTCTAGAGTCGCCCAGCAGCTGTCCTGAGGCTGCTTCCAGAGGTTTCTCAGTGTAGTTAGTATCATCCTGGCACAGGGGAGGTAGAGGCAGCTGTGTCAGGAATTAAAGGCCCAGCTTTAGCTATAACAATGACTTCAAGGCCAACTTGAGCTACATGAGACCCAGTCTCAAAACACAAACCAGAAAAGGCACCTCATCTTCCTATGATAGCCTTCTGTAAATGTCTAAACCCACAGCCTCTTTAGAACTAGAAATCTAGTCTCGTGGTTATTCTGACACCCCCAGCCCTCAGTCTCTTATTCTCAGTCAACAATGTTTTAGCTTGCAGCCTTGACTTTCCTTAAGCTTGTATGATAAAAACAGCGCTCTTTTCTCATAGGCAGGTAAATCTCGCTATTGAATCTGACTTCCAAACCGTCTGTCCTGCCTGAGACGTGTCTGGCATGCTTCTACCCACTCTCAATTTAGAGCCACTTCCCTAGGACCGCCACTTTAATTTCCCATCTATTTGGATTGGTAAACCAGGCCCCGGCTTTAATACGGGAGTCTAGTTAGACAAATTTATATTCGGAACTCAATGTCAGACAAGTAAATAAATTAGCTGGCACCCAGTTTTGATCAGAGCTTTTAGACAGACAACTTACTTAAGCCCCAAACAGAATGCTGGAGAGTTCTTTGTTGGAGAAGGGAGGCCGCTTGTTGTTTCCTGTGGCCGGCTAGCTTAGACCTGAAATAATCTCACAGAAACTGTATTATTTAAATTGCTGCTTGGCCCATTAGCTCTAGCTTCTTATTGGCTAACTCTTACATATTAATTTAACCCATTTCTATTAATCTGTGTATTGCCACATGGCTGTGGCTTACTGGCAAGGTTCCAACCGGCATCTGTCTCCAGCAGCTCCGTGGCTTCTCTCTGACTCCGCCCTTCTTTCTCCCAGCATTCGCCCCCCCCCCCAGTTCTGTTCTTCCCTGTCATAGGCTCAAAGCAGTTCTTTATTCATTAGCCAATAACACATAGACAGAAGGGCCTCCCACACCAGTTATTTTCTCAGAGCTGCTCATGAATTGAGGTAGAGCCAAGTGTGGTGGCATATGCTATTAATCTCAGCCCCCGGGAGGCAGAGGCAGGCAGACCTCTTTAAAAAAAAAAAAAAAGGAATTGATGTAGGTGCATTGGCATTTTGATTTAGGAACCAAAGTAGTGTCACAGGCATGTTGGCAGGGCCATGGTCTGGTGTGTGCACGCTCTGATTTGCTGGTACCGGGCTCCAGGCTTCACTTTTCCTAGGATCATAGCGGGTGCTCGACTAAAAGCGCTTTGCAGTTTATAGCGATCCTTTCTTCTTCCCTGCTTTCTTCCGCGTAAGCCGTCTTTAATGAACGTCGTGCATGAGGTTCTTCTACTCCTGCATCTTCTCAGTCGTTCCTCTCTTGTATTTGCCCTCCTCCCTTCCCACTGGACGGGACGGGGCTCGCCCTTCCAGGATCTTTTCTGCGGCCTTTGTCCAGCGTTAGCCTGGTGATAACCACCCTGCTAGGGTGGACGCCCATGTGGACAGTTGTGCCATTAGCCTTTTCTCGCTGCACCTTTTCAGTGAAGGTGACCAGACGACCTTGCCACGCCGTTGTCTCTAGTGTCCTCGCACAGCCTGAGCATCATCATCTTTTCAAATGTGCAGGGATCAAAGGGGCATTACACTTGTGTGTCAGCGCTTCGGAAAGATGGGGCGACATCATCTTCCTAAACCGAGAGAGTGCACTGAAATGCTGTTTGCTTGCTTCAGTCAGAAGTCACCAAGGGACTGAGCTTCTTTTTGGCGGCAGCCGTTCCAGCAATGGCTGCAAAGGGAAGAATTATTGTTTCCTATTTAACAAGCCTCAGAATAACCCGGTTTACCGAGGAGAGAGGCAGAGGTCAGGGTTTGCACTGGATCTTTGCAAAGTCTGCCCAGCAAAGGTCTGTGTCACTGTGTTATTGCCCTGGGTGTCATGTCCTGTCCTACCTTTGGAAGTCGAATGGGCTATTGCAGCAAAACCTCCATTTGCAAAGCCCCTCCTCGGGGCAGCTCGGTTTATCAGGTCTCTTAGAAATATGAGATTCTCTGCTAGATTCCTAAGTCTTTAAACCTCCTTATATAGTAGTGAGTGATGTTGGCACACATCCCAGCACTGGAGAGGTTGAAGCAAGAGCATTTTGAGTTCAAGGCCAGCCTTTGGCTCTGCAGTGAATCTAACCTTTTTAAAGGCCTCTTTGGGACTGAGCATATAACTTTGGCTATGCAACTGTCTCCTTAAATGCATGAACATTACATGCAGTAGTTAAGAATGCTGCCTGGGCTCTCACTGCAGGGCTTCATAGCATCCCTGTCTCTCATCTGCTCAGCTCAGTAGCAGCTTCCTGGCTTTGTCTTCTAAGCCGTGAACCGAGTCTTCCATGCCGTGAACCGAGTCTTCCATATAAGTGAACTGTGAGAACAGAACAAGGCCTCGGGGTCACCCATAGGAGAGCAATGAGACTGGAGAGGTAGTTCTCACTAGCTCCGTTTCCTGAGAACTCAAAACTCAATTGGCACTGAAGTGCCTGGGGAAACAGGAGTATGTGTTAGGGAGACTGTGGCTGTTCTCACAGCTTTGGGAGCATGAGGCAGCGCCCCGAAAGTGCCATGACAGACCTGAAGCCTGGCTCTGGTGAAATGTCCACACAAGTAACAACCTCTGGGGTGAGCCTTGCCAATAGCATAAGGGACGGGCTTGTCTAGTAAGTTCCTTCAAGCGGTTAAGGAAAGCAGCGATCACTCAACACTGTTTCCCTTAGTTTCTGCATCCGCAAACGAAAGGGAAGAGAGAGGCTGGGAGTGTGCTGGATGCGGGAGAGAGGGAGGGGTTGCAGAGGGAATGATGCGTGCAGGAAGGTGAGGAGAGCTATATCTGAACACCGTGGCTAAGTTGTGAAGGAACAGAGAGGTGTAAATATCAGGCTGGGGGTGAGAAGCAACAAGACTGCAAGGAAAAGCCGGGGCCAGAAAGGGACTGTCGCTGTCCCGTGTGCCACACTTCAAAACCTTCCAAGCACAAGGACCCGAGTTCAGATTTCCAGCACGCGTATAAAAAGTTAGGGTTGTTGGCCAAAGCTTGAAATCCCAGTGCTGGGGAGGTGGGGACAAGAGGATCCCCAGGCATACTGGCCAGCCAGTCTTAGTAAGTACCAGCTTCAGCAGGAGACCCTACCTCAGAAGCTAAGGTGGGGGCTGGGGAGGTGACTCGGCAGGAAAAGCATTTGCTGCAGCAAGTGTGACCTCAGTCCAGATTCTTAGAACCCACATGAAAAATTGTATGTACTATCACATACATGTAATCAGTGTTTCTGTGGAAGGATGGGAGAATAATCCAGAAGTTCACAGCCTTCTAAACTGGATCACTTGGCCGAGTAGCAAAAACAAGACAGTCCTGCCTCAAACAAGATGGAAGGTAAGAATTGACCCCTGAAGGTCACTCTGACCTCCACATGTGGGTATGTGTGTGCGCACACACATACACACAACACAAAGGCAGAGCACAGCTGAGGAAAATGTCTAATGTGTTAACCTCTGATGCCAACTAGAACATCACAGATCCCCTTCTGGGATGGTGAGCCATAGGACAGCCGGGCCTTGCTCAGCCAGCTATCTGTGTAGGAGCTGGGACAGCAAACCAAGTATGGTGGCTCACACCTGTAATCCCAGCACTTGGGAAGCTGAGGCAGGAGGACTGCTATAAATTCAACTCAGTCTGGTCTATATAGTGAGTTCCAGGCCAGCCAGAGCTACACAGCAAGACGTTGTCTCAAAAGGATTATGCTAGCAAGTGCCATTATAGGCCAGGTTAGGAGCTTCTGTCGTGCACCACGAATGTTCCAGGAAAGACTCTGAGACTTCACACCCCATCCATCAGTCATGCCTTGACCTAGTTTCCCAATGAGAAGATGAACTCTTGGTAGCGGGGAGGTGGTGTCCCCTCCTGGCCCTCCCACAGTGCTCCAGATGTTGGTGTGCAGTGAACAGTTCAACAATAGAGGGGTTAGAGCACATATCTGCCCCGCTCACTAAGTGAGGCCAATGATGACTGGAGATACTTTCCAAGACCAGTCAAGACAACTCCACAAGAAGACAGAGTGCTGCTCCTAACGGATAGTTGTACGGAAAGATGTAAAACTCTTAAAGGTATAGCAGTATGGTTATTTCCATTTTACAATAGCATCCCCTGGCCCAGTGCTTTTCCCCTGCTCTGGCCCGCGGGGCAGGTCTGCCACCCTCCATTATGATAGACAGGATCTCCAAGTGGTACCACTGCTGGGAGACAGCTCCTCGCTCCCTTCCCTATCATCTTACCCCCATTCTGGGCACAGACCTTTCCCAGGTTACCCAGCGTGTGCTAATTGTGAGAGAGCAGAGAGGTGCCAGCAAGGGTCAGATGTCTTGAGATGGAGGAGGTGACAGAATTCCTTCATGGAGTTCCTCTGTTAGGTGATGCCAAACACCCACACTACCAGGAGGGGGACTTTTTGCTTCACTTTAGCCTCAAGGAGAAGCTTTGAGGGCTGCTATAACAAGATAGCAGAAATCTGGCGAAGGAGGGCCTTGGGAACCACTTTGGCTGTGGGGCGGTGCCACATGCCGCCGGGTTGCCCATAAACTGGTGGGTTTCTGCTGAAATTTCAGGAAGGCAATGACCACCCCAACCCCGGTGGCTTTGGGGGCGGAGCCTGAAGAGGGCGGAGCTCCGGGGCGGGGCGAGCTCAGCGCCTCCAGCGGGCTCCGCGGCTCCGACTGTAGTTTAAAAGGCTGGAAGGCGGGCTTCGCTAATATCCGAGTGCCAAAGAAGAACCCGTTTGGCACAGCCATGACCGGGCGGGCAAGGGGCTCTCGGCTGCTTCGCAGTCTCCTCCTCTTCGTGTTGTTCACTGCCGGCGTCGCCCCCTTCAATTGGGATCTCCCGGAGCCCCGCAGCAGAGCCAGCAAGATCCGAGTGCACCCCCGGGGCAACCTCTGGGCGACCGGTAAGTCTTAGGGGACTTCAACAAGCGTGCCTCATTCTCCTAGGTCCCCAGTTTCCTTTCAACTCTCTGGAGGCTCATAGGAACAGAACTCCTGCAGACCCGGGGGCTCAAGTTTAACAAGCGGGAATTAACAGGTCAAATCCAGCAGCCATGAACAGCAGCAAGTTGAAGACTGAGCTGGGCCAGCATCTTAGATCTGGTTGCCAGTCGGTCCCCCTTCCCTTAGGCAGACTGCCAGGTTTTTTCACTCATGTCTTCTCTGCACATCTGTATCCGAGGCACCTTCTCCACTTCCTTCCCTGTCATCTCTCCCTGGTCCCAGGCTCTCTACCCTTCTTCCAGCGGATTGGGAAAAGCTGAGGCAGTCAGCTTTGCCTCCACCCAGACGTCTGTCTGTGGCTTCTTGCTGAGCAGGAACGTTTGTCTTCCCTCTGTGAGAGCTGAAAGGTGGATTAGACCAGAACTTGCTTGTGGTCACAGGGTCCTCACTCCCTAGCTTCCATGTACCCTGGCACCTCTTTTTTTAGGTCACTTCATGGGCAAGAAAAGTCTGGAGCCCCCAAGCCTGTCGCTGGTGGGGACAGCACCTCCCAACACCCAGAGGGACCAGAGACTGCAGCTGAGTCACGATCTGCTCAGAATCCTCGTGCTAAAGAAAGCTTTAGGCATGAACCCCAGTGGCCTGGCTTCCCCAATTCAGGTGAGACCCTACCCTAGTACCTACATGGAAGAAGTGCCACCCAGCTTGGATTCAGGGTGGGACTGCCTAGACAAGGTGTAATGAGTGTGGGTTCTAGAAAGCCAGGGTCCCAGGGCTCAAAGAGCAAATACCCAAAGACCAGAAAATGACGCAGCAGATTGCATGGGGAAGAAGTCCCTCTTTGCCCATCCCCAGCCTGAAGTCACAGACTAGGATTGTCCTAGCCCTTAAACAGACCTTCCTCCTCCATCCAAAAACAGCCTCGTCCATCCCAGCTGTCACCCACTGCACTAGCCAAGGCCACCTTTGCTGTTCCAGGCTGTGCTGTGGTCCGAGCTGTGACCTCTGAGTCCTAGAGCAGAGACAGAACTCAGAACCAGCCTGCTTTTCAACTCCTGTCCACTTGCCAACGGCAGGCATTATCACATCGGTGCTCTGGACAGTATAGGCTCTACGGGGCTGTCCTGTGTCTTTAGGATGCTTAACACATCCCTGGTTTCTACCCACCAGATGCCAGTAATGTTCCCTCTCCTCGTCCAGCTGTGAGAATCAAAATCCCCTCCCGGTCAAGAATGGGGCATCTGCCTGCAGTCCCTGATACTTCAGAGGTTGAGGCAGGAAGATGGTTTAAGAGCAGGAGTCCTTAGACATCAAGCTGATGTCCTCTGGGGAGCAGTGGGATCAAATCACCACTGGCTGGAATACAGTAACCTGTGGTGCTCAAGCCTTAGGGTCCTGCCTGGCTGAGTGGCAGTTCCTCCACTCTTTGCTTCTGGTGCTGGTCCAATGGCACATCACTCTCCTTGGTACTTACTGCTGTGTGCATTAAGCAGTACTGCAGTGTGATGGGGTGGAAATATATGCTAGGGTCACACTTAGCTACTTAGTAGTTGGGTGACCTTAGAAATGTCACTGAACTACTCTAAGCCTCATGTTCTTTGTCAGATGGAGATAACAGGCCCATTTATGTCCCATGCACAGTATGGTGCTGGGCACACAGCAAGCTCTCAGTAAGCAGGAGCTCCACCGCCTGTCTACAAGCCCCTGGCAGTTCCTGCTGCTGACTCCCTTTGTTCCCCCCTCTCTGTGCCTAGCAGTGCACATGTGCTGCAAGGAGAGACAGTCCTTCGAGAAAGTCCACCTGCAGAGTCCCGGCAAACATCCTAGGAACCTCAGATGCAAGAGCAAGAAGCTTGGGCTGGCAGGGTCCAGAGAGAGATAGCATCACCTCTAGGGGCATTATTTTGAAGGCCTGAACTATCAAGACCAACCAGAGACTCCCTGAGGAAGCCATACTGCCAAGGCCAGTGGGAGGGAACATCAGAGAGGTCTGGGGCAGAGCTTGGGGAGGCAGAGGAGTAGTACTGAGTCGTGTGCCTCCTCGGGGACTTGATGTCCGTGATGCCCTTTAGTTGTCATGACGACCCTGTGAAATTGGTGCTGTATTCTGGGCAACTCAGAGACCCAGGCGAAAGCCCGCCCTTGCCCACTTCTGTGCACACCCAGCACATCCCTGTGGTCTGTGGACTCCACGATCAAGTCTTCTCTTTTTGCCTTCAGTACAGGAAGGCGCTGGAGCCAGTACTGAAGAAGTGATGCCAATCACGGGACGAACACAACACGGCTTAGAATGTGTCCATCCAGGGAAGCTGCTGAACGGAACCCCAGCAGTGGCCCCATCGGATGTAGATCCTAAGCTCAAATGTGTTACTCCCTTACTGTGATTTCTGGTTGGGTCACCAGGAATGTTGACGACGCCGACAGCAAGGCTCTCCTGCTGCATTTCTTGCTTCCCTGGTGAAGTTGCAAATAAAAACACTGCTCTTTACATAGATTGTCTGGGCCTCTCCTTCCGCCCCCGTTTGAAGAAAGGGGAAAGGACTCTGGAGGGGGGTGTGTTTGTCAATGGGGTGGTCTCTGGAAAGCCCCATCATCCCTTACAATGGCGCCAACCGGGTACTGAATGATTGTCAACTCTCGGCAGTTAGGTACTGGGTTGGCTGCTCTGGCTCACTGCTGTTTCTACCACCTAAAGTTTCTTTGCCTGCGATGGTGGGCTGCCTACACGATGCCGCGCTATGCTACACTCACCCCATCTTTCATCCCAAGCTTTAGTGCGGGACCTGGTATGTACAGGAGAGACCCACACCGGAATTCAGCTCTGCTGTGCTTAGTCTTTTCTGGTGGTAGGGACCTCCGTACAGGTTGTCAGTTGTCGAATATAAACGAGTGTCAGATACTTTATTGATAGTGTCTTATGTAACGTAGACTGGCCTCGAACTCCCTATGTAGCAGGTGATGACCTAAAACTTCTTATTCTCCTGCCTCTATCTCCTGAGCACTGAAATTACAGACGTGCGCCACCATGCTGGGGTGTGGGGTGTGTGTGTGGGGGGGGGAGGTTATGTGGTACTGGAAAGCGAACTTCGTGCACGCCAAGCAAACACTCTACCAGCTGAGCTACATCTCTAGCCCAACAAGATCCCTTCCAAAAAAAAAAAAAAAAAGAATCCTAAAGTATCCTTCACGGGCATATTCACGCAAACTTTTAAATTGACTGTTCACCTTAAGTTCCAATCAATAGAGTCTGTATTGTACCTGGCTTTAGGACACTGACAGTTCTTCGGCTGCACATACTTGATCCTAAAACAAGGACATATTTGATGTCTCTGGTCCTATTTGGAGCTATCATCGAAGAATCTGTTTCTGCGTCGTTTTTTTCCCCGGACTTTGCCCACAGAACCCGGTGCTGCGCGCCGCACTGAGCGCTCTCGACACCGCTAGGCGGAAAACCACGCCCTCTCCTCGCGAGAACGCGCGTCTGCCCAGGAAGTCAGGCAGGCGGAAGTGGAGTGGCGGAAGCGACAGTTGCTATGGAGCTCGCGGAGGACTGGCTGGTGGAGTCCTTGCGCTTGTAAATCGGGCCGCGGGCGGGTCTGGTGGGCAGTGGGAGAGGGCGCGGGCAGTAAGGACCCCAGGGGTGGGCTCACGGGCAGTGCCTTGACACGGCCGGGCGGGGAAGGTCCTGATTCCCGGCCTCTCGCTCTGGGACACTCGGTCCTTTTGTAAGCAAGTGATGTGACCAGATGCTCACTCGTGAAGCTGGTTATGTTGCCCCGGCCTCTAGGTTAACTTGAATACAGGTTTTCCAATGATCATCTCAACTTGGGGAAATCAGCTCTGCGGAACCCTGGTAGTTCCGTAGATAAGAATAGGGTCGGTGCCTGGTCCGATACACACAGGGAGCAAAATGCGGAAAAAATACTCAGCCCCATACTACCCAGACCCCAGAGCCTGGACTACTAATCCTGCAGCGATAGCAGAGTTCTTGGTCAGCTCTACAGTGTCGTGCACCGTATGATTTTTGTAACCCTACCATGCAGGTACCAAGATTTCCACGCGTTTGACCTTTCAGGAGCCACTCGAGTCCTTGAGTGGATCGGTGAAAAAGGTAATATACCTAGTCTGCCATAAAGGAGATGAATCTCTGCCCCCTGGACTGAGTCTCTAAAGGACTCTCAGCCTTTAGAGAGACTTCCATCCAACTTCCATCTCTTGACACAAAACTGCCCACTTTTGTGACAGGGAAGAAATTTATTCTTTGGGAGAATTTATAAATCCAGCCGCTATCCACGATGTTTCTGTTTTTCATAGTTGCTGTTTTGTTTCAGGAGTCTTTGTTGCTGGTTTTGAAAGTTCGAGAAAAAATGAGATCCTTCATTTGATCCTGCCGCTCAGACTCTCCGTAAAGGAGAACCAGGTAACAGAGACGCTGACGGTACAAGTCAGCTTGCACTTACTGTGCATTTCCCGAGTGCCTGTTGCCCACCAGGTACCGTCCCTGACAAGCACCGAGTCTGCCCATAAAATATCGCAGGAGAAAGCTCCTCTGCATAGGGGTGGATGCTGACGAAAGCCATGTGGTTCCCAAAAGAGCAGGTAAAAGGTAATAAAGGGTAATCTTACTATATCAAAAGTAGATTTACGAAGCTGGAGAGATGGTTCTGAGAGCGCCTGCTGCTCTTTCAGACAGCCTGTGTTTGATTCCCAGAAGCCACAGCGCAGCTCACAATTTTCTATAACTCTTGTCCTGGGGCATCCAGCAGCCTCTTCTGGCCTGCGAGGATACCAGGTGTACACATGGTATATAGACATGCATGTTGGCAAAACACTCATACACAAAATAAATATTTTTTAAGAATAGATATAGGGGCTTGAGAAGTAGCCCAGGGGTATAGCTTTCCCATAGCATGAGCAAGGCTTCATAGCATTGTACACACACAAAATAGATTAGGGGACCATTAGGGTATAGAAGTCGGTGGAAACCATATGGATGGGTAAGATCACCTAGGATGAAGGTTTGGGATCTGAAGATTAAGAGAAGACAGCAGGGGCAGAACCTTGGGGAATGTATTTACATGATGAAAGAAAGAGTGGTCTCCAAAAAGAGCTGGAGGAAGAGGGTGTGTGAGAGGCAGCTATGTAAGTATAGTTAGTGGCTCCTACTGCTAGCCAGCCAGGGCCACGCAGTGAGAGCTCGCCTCAAAAAAAGATGGAAGAGGAGGAGGAAAAGAAAAATAATTAAATGTGCCCGATAGAGCGAATACTTGTTAAGTGGGTGTTTGTCTTGGTTGCTAGAGGGGCCCACCTGGCTCCTAGTGGGAGGGTGAGTGGTTGGTGATAGCAATCCAGCAGTCCTCGCTGTGACTCCTCTAGGAAAGATTGGAATGTTTTTGCCTCATATGAGAGGGACAGGAGACAGGCTAGAAGAAAGTTTGGAGATAGGCAGGAAGAAAAAGAAGCTGGACATGTAGACACTTACAGACGTGAGCCTGCCAGGGTCCAGTTGAGTAATTTTCATGGCCAAGTTCTTCCCTGGCGCTCATCTGAAGTGTTCATTTGAAAAATAGGTACTCAGGCTGAACAGATGGCTCAGTGGTTAAGAGCATTGGTTGCCCTTCTAAAGGACCCAGGTTCTATTCCCAGCACCCACATTACAGCTCACAGCTGTGTGTAACTGCAGTTCCAGGGGATCTGACACCCTCACACAGACATACATGCAGGCAAACCCCCAATGGAAAAGAAAGAAAAGTAGGCGATGAGCTGAGCGGTGGTGGCACACGCCTTTAATCCCAGCACTCGGGAGGCAGAGGCAGGCGGATCTCTGTGAGTTTGAGACCAACTTGGTCTACAGAGTGAGTTACAGGACAGCCAGGGCGACACAGAGAAACCCTGCCTCAAAAAAGCAGAACAAAACAAAACAGAAAAAAACAAAGAAGAAAGAAAGAAAAGAAAAATTCAGGTTCTGATTGTCCCCACCCCTTTATGTTTTAGGGTTTATTCCCGGAGAGAGATTTTAAAGTGTGTCATGGGGGATTTTCAGACAGATCTGTCTTCGACCTAAAGCACGTGCCAGATACCAGGTATGACCAGTCTTGTGTCCCAGACCTTCCGTTCTTTGGGGATGACGGGAAATGCTCAACAGTGTTCTGTCTTCTTACCACCATGCCCGTTTCTCAGTCTGCAGACGTAGGTGGGTGCACATCAGGCTGGGGCACACAGGTTTAGCCTATGAAGAAACCAGTAGCTCAGCAGCCATTTTGAGTAGTGGAGGCAACAGGTGTCTAGGGTTGCTCCAGGACCAGATACAGAGTGGAAAGTTCTCAGAAGCTTCTCCGAGAGCTGTCAATCAAGGCTGTGTGTTCAGGCTCCCCACGGGTGTCCTCTCCAGGTGACCATCATGACCTGTGAAAGCCTGGGCTTGGTCTGTGGTTCTGAGTTGTGAACCTGTCCCTAAGGCAGGGTGAGCCTGTCCCTACGGCAGGGTGAGCCTGTCCCTAAGGCAGGGTGAGCCTGCTCAGCTGTTGAATGAGGGATCCTGAGTGGGCTGGAGAGGAAAGACTGCCAGGGTGAAGGTGAGCGTCCCTCTGTCTGGACTGAGGTTTTCTGTCTCTCTGGAACAGGTTGCTGGTGACCAGTGGCCTTCCCGGGTGTTACTTGCAGGTGTGGCAGACTGGAGAGGACAATGGTGAGTGACGCTCACTTGGGGACACTGGGGTTTTAGGAAAACGACTCCCACAGCCCTGTTCCTTAAGCTGAGCCAGTAAGAAGCCCTTGAGGGAGAGGACGGGACAGCACAGTTTCTGTCGGCGTTTGTACCACTCAGATGCGTTAGCGTCCACGGTGTGACAGGCAGGCCAAACGCTACAACTTCCTTGAGCTTCCCCCGGGAATTGAGTTTACAACCCAGCTGCTGGCAGAGCAGCTGGAGAGCCAGGGCCTCCCAGCTGGGCAGGGCCACTACAGGCACTCAGCTCGAGGAGGAGAGGCATTGAAGAGGTCCCTCTCTTTAAGATCTGTTCATTCTGGGGGAGGAAAATGGCAAGTGAGCAAGAGGTTCACTGGCAGTCTACCCAGAAGTCACAGCACTTGGAGCAGGAGCGAGGGGACAGCAGGTCCCTGTCCGGCAGGCATCAGAGCATGTCCCCTTTCGCCTACCCAGCCATTCATTCTGTCCCGCAGTGAGAGGCACTCACAGCAGGAAGTGGGCTGCCCCACACTGTGGCAAAGCTTCCTACAGTCAGCACAGTGTCTGTCCCTTCTCTCAGGCCTCACTGCTGCTACTGTGAGGGCTGCTGTTGAGCTCATCCCTGTGCATCTCCTGGTCGCTTGTCTGCGTGGTCTTCACAGTTCCTTGTGTTGCTTCCCTATACGTGTGGCAGGTCTTTGGCGCTGCTGCTGTTTAATGATTTTACCTGCACAAGACTCATCCGTATCAAGTGTGTAGGTCAATAATTTTTAAGGAAAATTTGCCAAGTTTTACAGCCATCACTATAAATCAGTTTTAGGACATTTTTATCACTCCCAATAAGATCTGTTGTGCCATTAACTATTAATCTCACTCCTACATCCTGTCCCAGACAGTCAATATATTTTCTCTGTAGTAGATTTGCCTATTCTGAAGAAAGTCTTATCAGGGGAGCCTTTCATGGATTCTCTGTGTCTGACTTCTGTCCCTTAGCGTGTATCTTTAATATTGTCCTTGTTATAACGTTCATCAGTCATTTCTTCCTTTTTATTGCGGGTACTGTTCCTTTGGACAGGTATGACGCATTTTGTCTGTCTGTTCCAACCCTATGTACAAATCTTGATATGTACATATTTTGCTGGATTATGTGGTAAATTTATGAGGTTTTGTTTCATTTTTTTTTAAGAAATTAAAAGTTGCCAATTTAGTCTACAGAGCTAGTTCCAGGACAGCCAGAACTACATAGAGAAATCCTGTCTCGAAAACCGGGGGAAAAAAAAAAAAGAAAGAAAGAAAGAAAGAAAGAAAGAAAGAAAGAAAGAAAAAGTTGAATCTGGAGAGACGGCTGAGGGCTCAGAGCTCTCGCTGCCTCTGCAGAGGACCCGGGTTTGGGTCCCAGCACATTTATTTGTCAGGTAACTCACAACACCCTGTTGCTCCAGTTCAGCGGGACCAGACACCCTCTGACCTCCAAGGGCACCTGCACACACACGGTGCACATAAACTCATGCAGGAACATAGATATACACATACATAAAGTTTTACAAAATGATTTCATTGGTGTTCCCAGTAGCCATATGCAAAAGTTCCCATTTTCTGTGGCCTCCCCAACATTCGCCACTGTCTGTGCCTAGGGATTAAAGCTGGCACCTGCTAGGCACGCACTTGGCCCTAACCCTCCGTTTTTATAAGCCTGTGCTAATGGGTGTGGTGCTGTCTATCACTGTAGCTCTCATTTGCGTTTCTCCACTAACAACCCTGGACACCTCTTGTGTGGCTGTGAAGTTCTTTGTATGTGCTGGCTACAAATTCTTCATTAGATACATTTGCTAATCATTTATCCAGTTTGGTGTTTTTCTTCTCATCGGTGTATGTGGTAGTGGTGTTTTGCTTTTGTTTTTTTTTGGGGGGGGCAAGAAACAGGGTCTTACTATATAATCATAGCTGTCCTGGGACTCACTATGTAAACCAGGGGTGGTCTTATCTCACAAGTGCTGAGATTAAAGTGTGTGCCTGCTGCCACTCCTGGCTCTTTCCTCTGGGCTGGCACAGCGGTGGGGATTCTCTGGAGGATGTACTTTCACACCAACTGGAAAGGACTCGGACTTTTTTTTTTTTTTAAATATTTATTCATTTATTATGCCTTCAATATCTGCCTACATGTATGCCTGCAGGCCAGAGAGGGCACCAGATCTCATTACAGATGGTTGTGAGCCACCATATGGTTGCTGGGAATTGAACTCAAGACCTTTGGAAGAGCAGGCAATACTCTTAACTACTGAGCCATCTCTCCAGCCCCCTCCCCTTTTTTGTTTTTAAGACAGGGTTTCTCTGTGTAGCCTTAGCTGTCCTGGAAATCGCTCTGTAGACCAGGCTGGCCTAAAACTCACAGATATTCTCCTGCCTCTGCCTCTCAAGTGCTGGGATTAAAAGCGTGCACCACCACTGCCTGGCAAGAGACTGGATTCTTGTTTCATGTATGCATGTAATTACTATGATACTGGGTGGCAAGGGTATGCAAGGCCTCAGATGCGCCAGGCAGCTGCTGTGACATTGGATTATATTCCAACCCCTCCCGAATCTTTGAAATAGTCTCCTTTTCTGCAGCTGAGACCCCTCCCTTGGCTCAGAGCAGCAGGTCCTGGGAGAATTAGTTTCAGGCTCCTTGAAGCCAGTGTAGGGGAGTCAGGGAAGTGTGACCTGGGAGAACTAGGCAGGCTCTGCTGAAGTGGCCTCAGCTGCAGCTTTTTGGTGCTCCCTAGAGACCAGCTGCAGCCTGAGGCTCGGCTGTTGTGTCTGCTCCTGAGTAGGGAAGTCTAGATGCCATGCCCTGGGGGGCCATGGCCCTGGAGGGGTCCAGACATCCCTGTGCTTGTGGTACGGGGACTGTTTGAAGGAGCACGCCGCCACACATTCCTGTTCAGCCACGTCGTACCCTTCTTGTACCCCACCCCTCACCGTTCTGACCAATGCCTGTCCTTAAAACTGGAGACACACGGGATCTTCATCTTCATCCAGCGTGGGCACGAAATAGTGTGTTCTTTTGTGGAGAATGAAACACAAAGCACTAAACAAGAATTTCTCTTTTAAGTAGCTTGTGCAGCGAATGTCCCAAACTGTTCCAGGTGCCATCAGGAGAAGCACCAAATGAATCCCAGCACTCGGGAGGCAATGCCAGGTAGATCTCTGTGAGTCTGAGGCCAACCTAGTCTACATAATGAGACCTATCTTCAAAAACTTAAATTAAAAAAGAAAAAGAAAAAAGGCATCAAGTGATGTAGAATGCAGAGACTAGAAACAGCTAGAGGCCAAGCAGGAGCCTGAGACAAAGCAAAAGTACAGAGATGAAACCAAACAAAATTCAAATTATCTTCCATTCCAGCAGTGGGAGTGGAGATAAGAAAATCAAAAGGTTAAGGCCAGCCTGGGCTAGTAGGACCCTGTTTCAAAAAAAGGAAGGTAAATAAAAAATAAAGGTCTAGCAAGATGGTTCAGCAGGTGAAGGCACTTGCTGCCCAGCCTACCATCTGGCAGTCTAAGTTCAATCCCAGGACCCTCACAGTGGAGAGAAAGAGGTGGTGCCTGCAAGTTGTTCTCTGACCCCCACACATGCACACAGATACAATAATAAAGTAATTAATGTGCAAAGATGAAAACTATATTAAAATTTTATTCTACTTGAGTACATCTTTTCCAAATCTGTCTAAGAGGCAGGCCCTCCTGTCTTCCCATTTTCATCAGCAGCCCTGCAGCTGTGAGCGTGTTCGGGAAGAAGCAGGGCTTGTTCATGAACTCAGAACTTGTTCCTTTTCTCTGGAGATGTGACTGACATCAGTCAAGTGCTCCTTCCCTTCCTTCATATCTTTTCTCTGCCAAACAAGTCAGAACTGCTTGCTTTCAAGGTGGCCACAATGACTCATTGTCTCCCGTTTGCAAAAATAGTTCGTAAGGCACATCATGAAGACGTGAAAGTGCTGCTGGCAGGTTCAAGAATGTGAACAAAACCCTGAGTGCTTTCATCTCAGCACCGCCTCACCAGCCTTCAGCTCCATCTCCCTTCTAAATGTCAGGGGTTTCTAGCTAGCCCTCACTGATTCTCTGCGCTTTGACCTCTTCCCCTTTCCTTCAGATGTCATCGAAGCCGTCCGTACCATTGACATGCAGGACAGAGAGGAGAGTCTCTGGCCTCGGGTGTCTGTCTTCTCCTCTGCAGCACCTGGAATCCTCCACGGGGCTCGGCTCAGTGGCCTGAGGACTGTGGACATAGAATCCCAGAAAATCACATACAGCTCAGGTACTGTCACAGTGCGCCCCCTGCCGGCTCCTCCAGCCAGCTCCGCCCTGAGACATGGCTAGAGTCTCTGCCAGCCGCTGAGGGTACAAACCCTGGCCTCCGGGGCTCAGCACCCACCCAGTAGAGCAGACTGGCAAGATAAAGCAGAGATGTAAACATGACTTGCTCTGTCCGGGCCTGGCACAGCCCACCAGCCTTGCCACATTGTCAGGCCTACTGGACTCCAGCACTTTTTCTTCTTTGCCCTGTCTTCTAGGTACCAGTGACAGCGAGTCGCTGAGCAGCCTTCAGGTTCTAGATGCGGACACCTTTGCTTTCTGTGGCACCTCAGGTCGCCTGGGGCTTGTGGACACCCGCCAGAAGTGGGCACCGTTGGAGACTCTCAGCCCCAGCCCTGGCTCTAGTGGAGAGAGATGGTGTGCAGATGTTAGGAACAAGGGGCAAGGCCCGGGGCCCTGCATTGCCAGCCTTGGCTCAGATGGGCAGCTCCGTCTCCTTGACTTCCGGAACCTCTGTCACCCTGTGAGCTCAGCCCAGTGTCCTGTGTCCAAACCCAGCCCTGACCCAGAGCTGCTGCAAGTGACTTGGGCTCCAGGCCTGGACAACTGCTTGGCTATTTCAGGTACTGTTGAGAAGGCTGTGTCTGTTACACCACTGCTCTTCCCAGGGATGGTAGCTTGGGAAGGAATCTGCACCCCATGCCTAACCTGGCTGCAGAAATTCAGGTTGCCTACCCCGAGCACCACTTTGGTCTCTGGGCTGACTCCTCAAAGGCAGGTCGCCCCCCGCCCTGGCCACCAAACTTGCACCAATCAGCAGTGGCCCTTACAAGCCTAGCAGAGGTCCAGGTGTGTTGAGAGACTTGTAGACAGTAAGACCCGGAACGGCTCGAGGCTGCACCCAAAAGAGGTGGCAGCATCTCCACGAGCTGCTGGTCTGCTTGGGTTTTTAGCTGAAGCCACACTGGAGCCTGGGGGTTGTCATTGCAAGGATGTGTTCAGTGGGGCCATCTAGACGAGGGCACAAAGGGGGAAGTTCAGGATCCAGGAGGGACAGTGCCAGAGAGAACGGGAAAGAGCAGCGTGGGACGGGCAGCTGGACCTCAGCGGACAGACAAGAGGCTGAGCATTAAAGACAAGGCTGTCCGCTGAGGACCCAGAGGTGGAGGGGCTGAAATTTGGAGTGCATTTAAAAGGGTTGAAAGTTTCTTCTGCCTCCATGTCCTGTGGAGATGCTGTTGTGAAGATTAAAGATAGCGCATGTTGGCTTGGGCATAGCTCAGTTAAGCCTGCCGTGCGAGCTTGAGGATCTAAGCTTGATCCCCAGAATCCATGTCAGCCTGGACACTGCCGACCGTGGTGACACGTGCCTTTAATCCCAGCGCTGGGGAGAGCGAGGAGGTGGTTCTCTGTGCGTTTGAAGCTAGCTTTGTCTGTATAGAGTGCTCCTGGTCAGCCAGGGCTACAGAGAGAGGGGGATGGGGGAAAAGCTGGATGTGATAGTATGTGTAGTGCCTGCACTACGGCACCGTGCGCGAGCTGGGACAGGGGCTGGAGATTTAAACAGAGAGAGGACACGGGTCATCTTTGAAACAAGAGTGCCAACTTTATTGTGCTCCAGGGAAGCTTATATAGGGATCCTTAACTGATAGCCACGCCCCAGCTCCTGGGATTTTCAGCTGTAAACCCACAGAACCCACTCTCCTGCCATCAGGAACTCATGAGGGTCTCATGCTCAGGCAGCTGTAGGTACAGGTAAACAAGTTGTTTTGTTCAGTTCACTCTGGCAGGCAAAGAAAGTCAAGGGGCCAGGGGTCTGCAGCCCCCAACAAGGATGTTCTTATAGTTCCAGCACCAGGGAGATAGAGACAGGCAGATCTCTGGGGCTCATTGACCAGCCAGCCTAGCCAAATTGGTGAGTTTCCAGGCCAGTGAAAAGAACCTATGACAAAAACAAGGTGGACTGTGTCTGAAAAATGATGCTGAAGGTTCACCTCTCTGACCTATGCAAGTCACACACGCACACACACACACACACACACACACACACCCTATGCATCCACCTCAGGCCTAGCTATGTGACCGATATTGTGTGTGGGCGGCAGATATTCACAGCTGCCCATGGGGACATCCCCCACTGCTGCAGGTGTAGCTTTCTCCGTGGGTGGCCTCTGAGTGTCTTATGGCAGAGGGAGTTGCCCAGGAAAGTGAGGGATGTAGGGTCACTCCTCTTTTTTGTGTCCTCCAGGCTTTGATGGGACAGTGCAGATCTATGACGTCACGTCATGGGATGGAAAGGAAAGCCAAGTGGAGCCTCTTTTCACTCACAAAGGCCACATCTTCCTGGAGGGAAATGAGGTGGACGCTGCTCCTCTGGTCACCACCCACACCTGGCACCCTTGCAAACCCAGAACTTTGTTGTCAGCAGCAAGCGATGCCTCTCTGCATGTGTGGGACTGGGTGGACCTCCAGGCCTCCTGTTGACAGCAGCTGTTTTCCTCCTGGGCCTCCCTCTGAGAAGAGGGGGAGTTGCTTGAGTGAGTAGCAAGGACGCTGAGTGACCACAGGTCTGTCACAGCTGTCGGCTTCAGGCGGGTTAGCTCGCCCTTGTCCCTTTTTCATCTGTAAAATGAAGGTGGTGGTGACTGCCACCCAGGAAGGTCACAGGTTCCCGAGAACAGTTGGTAGGGTGTGTGGCACAGCATGGATTGGAAGCGACTGTTGGCTTCCAGGAGCCCCACCTCCTAGTGTGAAGTGGCCGTGCTGTGCTCCTGTCTCCTCACAGTGTCATGGTGAGAATAGGAGAGTGTGAATGTGGGTGTGAACTCTTCTCAGAAGGAAAATGTCTAAGGGCCAATAAAGATTGAAGAAAAACAATAACAGGCAAATAGCTACTCATTTGTTTATTTAGTTATTTAGTTGTTGGGCACTGTGCTATGTCCCAACCCCTCTTAAATTTTTTTCAGGTTGACCTGAACGTGCAGGCCTCCTTCCTCAGCCCCAGAGGCCGTTCCCAGCAGATGTGGACACAGATGTGGGTTCTCTGCCCTCCCCTCCTACTTCAGCGTCCTGAGTAGCTGGGATGCAGGCACTAGGACCAGCATGGAGATGAACAGTGTGGTTCTTTTACAGTGACATTGATAGAGGTTGGTTTGGGGAGCCCTAGAACTGCAGTTTCCTGGCAGGATGTTCACTCCCGCCCCCTCCCGGAGCGCATTTCCTAGCTCTCCTCTCCGCTCTGCTCAGCGGTGTCAGACTGATGGCTTGAAATTGGCTGTGGTGGGAGTATTTACATCTCAGAAACTGGCAAATGTTACAAAGCGAGGCTCTTGTTTCCCCCAGAGATCAGGATTACCAGCAGCCCCCAGCCAGGCTATAGTATTTCACTGAGTGAAAGCAAAGCGAGTAATTGAGAAAATCGGGGAGCGGTGTGTGATCTAGAAGGTGCTTTGCTCAGATGGATCCGGCAGGGGCTGGCCAGGAAGACCAAACCCACACCGGGTAATTGAATTGAATTGAATGGCACAGGAAACGAGGAAGGCACACAACCACAGCGTGTAGAGGCAGTAGGCCTCCGGGTAGGAGTTGTGGTCTCGTGTGTGGCCAGAGCCTAGATAATGAGCAGACGCAGCCTCGGGCTCTAGATCCACAGAGAAGATGGCTGACTACTACAGAGAGTACAGGGACAGGAGAATGGGACGGAGTCGAGAGGTTCATAGAGATATACAAATTTCCCTTCAGCCGAGCCAGCCGTGTCAATAACGGCAGCCTCACAATACAGGCGGCGGTGGTGGGGGAAAGCATTAACAGAAAGAGCTTGCCAGGACCGTAAGGCAGACATAATGGGGCATGATGGTACATATAATTATAATCCCAGCACTCAGGAGACGGAGGCAGACAGATCTCTATGAATTCAAGGCCAGCCTGGACTACACAGTGAGCTCTGAGCCAGCCAGGGCTACATGGTGAGACCCCACCTCAGAAACAATAAAAGACCTCGACTTGGCGTCCCATGGGTCAGGGGACAAGTCCTTGTCCTCCACTCAGTTTCCTCTCTAAAATGGCATAATTATAGTCCAGTCTCCTGGGCGGCTCAGTAGTTATCTAAGGCCACGGAGCAGAGTTAACTGTTAACTGAGCAGTTTTCTTTATTTTGGCAGTGACATGGATCAAACCTTACATAAGCTAGGCAAGTGTTCTATCAATGAGCCGCATCCCAGTCCTGGCTCCGTGTACTTTTTATTTATTTTATTATTAGCATTTTCCCCCCCGTACCACAGGCTGGCTTCAAACTGCAATCCCTGTGCAGCCAAGGATAACTTTGTACCACGTCCTCCTGCCTCCACCTCCAAGCACTGGGCCTGAAGGCATGTGCCTGCCACCCACCCCGCTTCTATAGCAACTTGGTCGTTTAGTTTGATTTTTGTTTTTTGAGACAGAATTTCTCTGGCTGTCCTGGAATTTGCTTTGTGGACCAGGCTGGCCTCGAACTCACAGAGATCCACCTGCCTCTCTCTCCCGAGTGCTGGGATTAAAGGTTTGCACCATCATCACCCATCTGCAACTTGTTAAATAAATTAATCTCATATATTCCCTATTATACCATATTGTCTCTCTGTCTCTCTCCCTCTCTTCCTCTCTGTCTCACTGTCTGTCTCTGTCTCATTTATCTCTGTCTCTCTGTCTCTCCCTTTCTCTCCCTCTCTCTGTCGTATTGTCTCTCTCTTTCTCTCCCTCTCTCCCCCCCTCTCTCTCTGTTTCTCTGTCTCACTGTCTCTCTCTCTGTCTTTGTCTCTCTCTTAGAGGAAAGGTTTTATTTGGATTTACCATTATCACCATTATCATTTTCATCTTGTGAGATCTCACAAATAAATGTTGTAAAAGCCGAAAGGTCCTGTTCCTGTCTCTCCTACTGCTCCAAGCTCTCTGGAGAGGAGGCACTCACTGCTGAGATCATTCCCTGTCCCAGAGGTTGGGACGCAGCCTCTGGGCTGGGCTCTTCTTTGGACCCCTCTGACACTTCATTAGCATGCCCTATTGCACCTATTGGTGCTACTCCGTGAAGTCCCCTCTGTGGGACAAAAGACTTCCCGTCACCTCTAAGGCATCAGAGATGTCAGCGAGCATCCAGGAAGATTCATCAGGGTGTCTGTCTTATCCTAGAAGTCGCTTGGTGTTCCTGGTTCTGCAGCAGGAGGCTGCAGGCTTTGAACGAGCAGTAAGACTGCTCCCGGATCCACAGGCGCTGAGACCATGCAGCAGCCCAGCCACAGGACAGTCTCTCTAGCAGTTCTGGTGGCAGGCGTGGGTCCCTTCTTGGACACAAGGCTCACGGAGAAGTCTCAGACAAACCTTGGTCTCTGCAGCCCGCATATGCCCCTGCTACCTTCTGACCCTCCAGACCCTGCTGGCTAGTTTTATGTCAGCTTTACACAAGCCATAGTCATTTTGGAAGAGTGAACTTGGGTTGAGAAAATGCCCCAACTAGACTGGGCTGTGGGCAAGCCTGTAGAGTATGAGTTGATTGATGGTAGACGTGGGAGGGCCCAGCTCGGCGTGGGTGGTTCCACCCCTGGCAGATGGTTCCAGCTGCTATAGAACATCCTTCATGGCATCTGCTTGAGTTCTGACCTGCAGGTTCATGATCTGAGTTCCCTCAGTGATGGACTGCTGCCTGAAAGTACAAACAAACTCTTTCCTCCCCAGCTGCCTTTGGTCCGTGGTGTTTATCACAGCAACAGAAACCATAAGGCAAAGGCTTTCTCAGCACTGGCGCCAGACCAGGCTTGGCTCTTACCCATCGCTAAGAACTCTCCCCGAGTGAGGCATGGTGGCACACATTTAATCCCAGCACTCAGGAGGCAGCTGGATCTCTGAGTTCGAGGCCAGTCTGTCTATAGAGCAAGTTCCAGGACAGCCAGAGATAAACAGGGAAACCCTATCTCGAAAACAAACAAACAAAAAAGAAAAAAGAAAAGAAAAACTTAGCAACAACAAAAAGTAATTCACTCATTGGGTCTAAAGAGCCAGAGCTCAGGTCCTCACTGCTCCGGACTAGAGAGTGGGACAGTGGTAGAGCATGTGCTTACCATGAATGCAGACCTCTGAGAAACAGGATGGGGCTGGAGAGATGACTCAGCACTGTTGCTCTTGCGGAGGACGAGGGTTCAATTCCCAGCACCCACACAGCGGTTCACAACCATTCCTAATAACGCTAGTTCCGAGGGACCTGACATTCCCTTCGGGCATCTTCTGGCACCAGGGGATGCCCAGCATGCACGTACATACATGTTGGCAATACATTCGTGCACACAAAATGGAGGACCAGGAGGGGGAGGAAGAGAAGGAGAAACAGGTCTCTCTGATGCTAAGTGGTGTTTGACTTCCTGTGTCTTTTGAAGCAGAATAGAGGAAAGAAATGAATTTTTAAAATTTAACATAAAAATGCTTGGTGTAGGGATTGGAGAGACAGCTGGCTCATCAGTTAATGTGTGTTGCTCTTCCAGAAGACCTGAGTTTGGTTCCCAGGACTCACGTCAGGCTGTTCACGACTGCCTGTAACCTCAGTCTCCTACATGTACTATGGCTTATATGAGTATCTGCACACACACATGACATATACACAAACATACACAGACATTAAAAACTAAGTATGACTCTAAAGAAAATGACAGCCTTACCTATTGAGACTCCATGTGTAAAATTCTCCAAGCTACTTCTTTTAGATGTTCTGGTGGCCTGGACACCTCCTGAGAGACACAAAAAGCCACATCACCGAGTGTCATCAGCTCCTGGGGAAACATAGCCCAACGACTGGGGAAGTAGCTCTGTGGTAGCGTACTTGCCTGGCATGTGTGAGACCTTGGGTTCCGTCCCCAGAGCCATGAAGGCAAAACCGAAAAGCATTACTTGTGTGTGTCAGACTTCTCATCACCATGAGGAAATATCTGCCAACTTGGTTTCAGGGATTTCAGAACATTGTGGCTGGGAGGGCGCGGTGGAGCCGGGAAGTTCACATCAGGCGGCCAGGAAGCAGAGAGAACGACTGTGGCTTGGGTTTTCTCCTTTTCCACCATGTAGCTCTGGCTGGCCCGCAACTCACTATGTAGACCAGAATGCCCTCAAACTCTCGAAGCTCACCTGAAACTAATGAAACCCTTTGGGGATTTCTGAGGAGCAAGAGTTGGTTATAACCGACCCACTCAGCAGTCAAAGGCGCTGAGCACGGGTCACCACTGAGTTCTGAGAAACCAGTGTCCCTGCTCTTCCTGTCTGCTCTGTCCTGTCACAGCACGGCTGTGCGTTTCTCGAACCCGGGTTCAAAGTTTTTCCTTCTGTATTGATCCAGTACATATCACCTCCCATTAGAGGTTTATGATTCTGCTTTTTGGTGTGTGTAACATATATGAGTCATCTGAGTTGATTTGGGGGTCTTAGCTGTTTTAAAGATTACTGCTCTTGGCTTTAACCCTACCTTATACCTTCCTACCAACCAGGCCTAAAACCTGTCCCTGTCATAACATATGGGACCAGAAATATGGCTAATTATCTTACGCTATTTTTAAGAACATGCCAGGCCGGGCAGTGGTGGTGTACATCTTTAATCCCAGCACTCGGGAGGCAGAGGCAGGCAGATCTCTGTGAGTTCGAGGCCAGTCTGGTCTACAGAGTGAGCTCCAAGACAGCCAGGGCTACACAGAGAAATGCCGTCTTGAAAAAAACAAAAAAATAGGACATGGCCACTACAGTCTGGCAGTCCCTCCTCCTCTTCCTCTCCTCCTCCCCGCGGTGAGGAGCCCAGCTGTCACAGACTGAGGAAGTCAACCTCAGTTTGCTTGCTGCATCTTTCAGGTAGAAGGGAGTGGAAAACCCCTCCCTTACGTTCCTCAGAAGGCCAATCCATAATCCATACCCTCCCAACAGAACATGCCCCACCCCCATTCCTTCCACAAACTTCTGCCAACTCTCCATCTGTCTAGCTGCCAACTCTCCATCATTGCTCAGAACAGACACGCTGATTCTGTTTGCTGCAAATGGATGTTAAGGAACTCAGTACTGGTTCTGAGGGACGCTTCTCCTCTGACTGCATATCCCGACTCTAAGGACTGAAGGTGGTGGATGCTAAAAGTTAAAACTCTCAGACACACAGAAGCAAAGGAGAAAGGCGACCCGATGCAAACCTGCAATAGCAAAGCAGAGTGTGGCAGTGGGGAGCACTTAGCCAGGAAACATGACAGTTCAGCTGTTTTGCAATGGGCACGGCAGTATTTTATGGGGAGGTGGCTGGTGTCCCCTGGTGTCTACTCCAGCAGTAGATCAACCCTCAGACAGCCAAAGCTGTCCCCTCTCCAATCAGCCTGCATGAGGAAGCAAAGTTGCATCTCATACTTCAGGGGCAGCTTTTGCCTTTCAGGCCTCAGTAAGCCCCTCTCTCCAAAGCCCCAGTCTCTCCACTCTCTGGTTGCTGCTATCTGCCTGGTTCTAGATCTCCCAGGGAAGGATGGTTGGAAACTATCCTGAGATAAACAACTCAAGGGTCTGCTCCTTTGAATGCTTTGGTTTTAGCCACTAGCAGCACAGCCTCTGCAGGAGCACCAGGGCCTCCAGCATCCTGATGCCTCTAGATAATGGACACCTGGTGAAAATCACAAGGTTCGGTCAGCAGGATGGGGAAGAGAACCCTGCTGTTGACTCGCTAACTGCTCCAGGGCTCCAGGGCTCCAGGGCTGGGGCAGTGTGGTTCTCTCTCTCTCTGGAGAAGTAGCCCCAGAAGCCTGCTACGAGGAGCTTGGAGCTGTGTTTGCATTGCGATTCACTCTGAGCTGAGAAAACCCAAGTTATCCATATGGGGCAGTGTGGAGCTCATATATGTGAACCTGCCCACCCTTCCTAGTGTTCCAAATAACTGCAGGGGATTTTTAAATAAAGCCCAGCATGAATCAGAGGCCCTATGGGCAGCTGTATTTGGAGAGGTTCTTCAGTTTCCCCCGGTGCCCCACCATCCCAGCAGGCCACTGTTCTTGGGCTCCCCAAAGAGAATTCAAACTGGACCTGGCAATATAGCAAGCCACATAGATAAGCCACATAAGAATTTAAGTTTAGCAAGCATGCAAGAACAAGAGTCAAGCAGCAATGACAGGCACAGGCCTTAAATTTCTCTTTCCTCTGTAATTTCCTTTCCTATGCCTTCCCCTAGGTGAGATCTTCCAGGAAAGGGGTACATTTTTTTTTTAAAAAAATACTGTTTATTTTATGAATATGGGTATTTTACCTACATGCAAATATCTTAGTACCATGTGCATACCTGGTGCTGTGGAATATCTGGAACTGGAGTTACAGACAGCTGTGAGCCACCATGTGGGTGCTAAGAATTGAGCCTAGGCCTTCTAAGGGCACAGCCAGTGTTGACAACCACAGAGCCATTTCTCCAGCACCAGGGGTACATTCTTCTTGGAAACCTATTTTGCCCAGAATTTAGTCTAAGAAGATGTACAAGATGCGAGAATATGGGGCTGGAGAGATGGCTCAGAGTGGACAGCAGCACTTGCTGCTCTTGCAGAGGACTAGAGTCAGTTACCAACACGTAAGTGGCTCACAACCTTGCCTGTAACTCCAGTTCCACGAGATTTGAGATTCTAGCACCCTCTTCTGGCCTCTAGGGTAACTGCAAGCATGTGGTGCGTATACAAACAAGCAGGTTTTAAATATTAAGTACGTTAAAAAGAAACAACTTATAGCCGGGCAGTGGTGGCACGCCTTTAATCCCAGCACTTGGGAGGCAGAGGCAGGTGGATCTCTGTGAGTTCGAGGCCAGCCTGGTCTACAAGAGCTAGTTCCAGGACAGGCACCAAAAACTACAGAGAAACCCTGTCTCGAAAATCAAAAAAAAAAAAAAAAAAAAAAAAAAAAAAAGAACTTATAAAGAGAATAGCTAATACATTTTCCCCCTAAATTTAGGGATACATAATTGGGGTTCAAGAGTTGAAAAGGTTATTATGCACACTCCACCAGTAAGCAATTTCCTGAGGCGGTTTGAGCTGACTCAGCTGGAGACCACCACCATTGGGGGCCAGAGCCGATCACCACCAACTACTATTTTTGTTTCTTTGTTTTGTTTTGTTTCTTGAGACAGAGTCTCACTGTGTAGCCTTGGTAGGTCCTGAATCCATTAGGTAGACCAGGCTGGCCTCAAACTCATAGAGATCCAGCTGCCTCTGCCTCCCGACTGCTGGGATTAAAGCTGTGTGATACTGTGGCAGGCTAACTTCTGTTTTTTAGTTCCGTTTTCCCTGTCCGTGGGTCAGTCCGTTCCAGAGCTGACTTTATTGTAAAAGCAGCAGCACCTGGGTGGAAGGGGACCCAAAGCTGAGATTCAAGTGCTGCAATGGCTAAGCTATTAAGACTCTCAACCTTGTTCGTAACTCCTTAGCCCTAGCGTAATAACTCCCACCCACACGGGGGATCTTTACTTCTTAAGACTGCAAGCTCTAAGAACAGATAGTAAAAATGCAGGACCATGGGAAGTTAGTAGTGGAAGTTATCGGATACTCTGATTCCAACTCTGTAATGACAACTGAAGCAGTCATGACTTAGGTACCCCCGAGTACTTGCTCCAGGTTACTTGGTTGGCTCATGACCAAGAAGAGGAAGGCTACTCTGCTCCACACACCATGCATTCTGGAACGTTTAGGTGGTAAACGCAGGCCCTGCAGGCCCGAGTGTATTGGAAGCTACTAGATCAGGGATATCTTCTTCAGGTTCAGTGACCCACAAGACCTGCCTTCATCACCAAGAACTCACCCAGCAGAGTGGGCAGGAGCAGCCCGACCCTTATCCTTTGCCTGGCCACGCCCACCCGGCGGAGCGGGGCCAGACCGGAGCCTCTTCCTCCAGGACCACAGTACATTCTCATGTAACCCAAAACCCCGTGGAGTTCCGAAGCTCGACCGCACAGACCAATGTCAGAGAACTTGGCAAGCCGAGCCACGAGCCCCAGGACTCAGCAAGTACTACATTTCCCAAAGGCGTCCACACCCAGACTGACAGCAGCATTAACCAATAAAGTATGAGGACGCCTCAAAGCCTATTTGCTTGAGGCGAATCATTGGCGACAGGCGGGACCTTCCTACAGCCTAGCGGCGGGCGGAGCAAAGTGAGCGGCGGTTATAGCGGGAAGAGGATTAGCCCTAAAGGCGGGAAGGGGTCTCGCCAAATTGGGGTGCTGAGCACCTTGGATCTTTGCAAAGTTGTCACTCACGCCAGGGGCAGAGGTGTTTATCCTCATCTAGTGTACAGATGAATAACCAGAATGGAGCTCTAAGTCCAGGTGACACTTTCTACCACGTAACGTGTGGTCGGTCACAGACTTGGTTCCTGTCCTGCGAAGCTGCATCGCACAGCCCACTTTCTTCTTTCCTGCACGCCAAGGCCTGGCTGGTTCAAAGAGCATCCTCGACACTAACTCATCAATAGGCAGCTGTGGGGAATCTACTTGGGGCGAGTACTGGTGGCGGGGAAGAGCAAAGCAGAGCATCCTAGGTTGAGTAGGGTTGGGCGGAGAGAAGCTTTGCAAACTGCTGCTCTGAACAATCCAGTCCCCGCAGAGCAGCGCGCTCCGTGCCAAACGCAGGTGTGTTCAAAGTCAGTGTGTGGGAGTACTACAGAGGTTGGGAGAGCCCAGAAGGGAAAAGGCGGGGCGCCTCAAGGAAACCGGACAGGAGTTTAGTACTTAATTTTTTATCTTGGGTTTTTGAAGCTGCAATGGGTAACTTATCTGTAATCCCAGCACTCAGGAGGAGGCAGGAGAATGGAGACTTCTGGCCAGCCTGGGCTACCCAGTAAGCCCCTGCTTCTAAAATAAAAAAAAATTATTGTGTTTTTCAGTTTGGGTGCTAAGGACCAAACCCAGTGCCTGACCGATGCTAATCACATGCCCTGACGCTGGACTTTATCCCTGACCCTTTTCTTTACTTACCAGGTGAAAATTCTAAAACTCCAGGTAGCTAAACTGTGACCACCTGTGGAGAGGTGAGGAAAGCCAAGATGACAGGAAGGACCAGTAACGAGACTGGACCTTGGAGATTTCTCTATCTTCAGGAGTTATGAGGCGGCTTAGGTGGAAACCCAGGCCAGCACACAGCTAGCTGCCAAACTATCCCCTGGACCAGTCCAGGAGCTCCAGAGTTGCCTTAGGGACCGGAACTGTTTGACAAAGGCCTAGCCCGGGAGACAGTTTGACAGGCTTTACATCACCAAACTGTGAAGGTCTGGGCAAACTGTCTACTGGACTGAGACCTTTCACCCAGTAGCGTTTCTCCCACAGCTGCTTCAAGCAGGTGTTAAACACAGAGCTGAGACACCTTAGCAGGAGAGGACTCCAAGGACAAATGGGCCCTGGGGCCACAGCCTGGGGTAGGGAATGTGGAAAACTAAAGGGAACTGATTTCTGTCTCTCCATCTGTTGCTCACAAAGTTTTATATCCATTTCCTCCATGGCTTTGGGTGATTTTGTCTGAAGTGAAAAAGTGAAAAACATTTTTTTTTTTTGTCAAAGATCCAAAAGAAGCCTAATAGAACCCTCCATGTGAAAATCCCCATAGCCATGTGAGAGACAGAGGGTGGGACAAGGCAGCTGTCCCTGGGGAGCTTCCTGGTTATGAGGTAGAGACCTCTGCCCCAAACAGGGAAAAGAACTAGGAAAAATGATTTGCTACTTGGAAGGACTACCAGTTACGACTGTGACGGCCCTGCTACTGACTAGGGGAAAGGAGAAAAGCTAGCTAACGTGTTGCTTGCTTTTATTGAATATCTGTTCTTTCATCCATTTGTCATTCTTAGTGTGTCTTGTGCTTTGCTTTGGTTTTTTTTTCTTTTTTTTTTGACTTAAAAAAAATTCTGTTGGGGGCAGGGAATGAGTGCAAGGATGCAGATGCAGAAGTGAGGATAGCTTCTGGGAGCCAGCGCTCTCCCTTTTCTGTAGGACTCAGGGGCTGAACTCAGGTTGTCAGGCTTGGTGGCCATCTTCTTTACCCGCTGAGCCTTTCCCTCCCTGAGATATTTGTCACAAATTAACCAAAAATGTGGTATGTGGCTAGGGTGGTCTTCATCTTCTAATGCTGAGGTCATGGCTTTGAGTCACCATTCCCTTCCTTATGGCCTTAATCATAAATGTGAATGCCCAGTGTGGCTGCCCATGCATGTAATCCAGCACCAGAAAAACTGAGGCAGGAGAACACAAAGCTGAGGCCAGCCTGGGCTACACTCCCAGACCTTGCCTAATACAAACAGAAATAAAAATGAACGTTTACAAGAAACTAATACAATGTAGCTAAGTGACCCCAGGGATGGGATTAGCAGGTGCTTAGTAACAGACTTACCAGACACCCCAAGTCTTCACTGTCCTGGAGTGAGGCTACTTAACGTTGTCAGAGAAGGAGAGATCAGTAGGAGCTTGCTCAGACACTCACTCTGTCACTGCACTGCACCCTTTGGTCATGCTAAGACATAGTATGTCTCAGACCATAAATGTAATCCTACGGAGAATCCTATGGAGAAGTCATCTCATTACGGCCTGATTCGATTATAAAATAGTAAAAGCAGAAGTGTGCAATGCAACTTCCGTCTAGAGCCGGGTCTGACGAGCTTCCCACACTCTATCCACACGGTGCAGAGTGGCACATCGGAGAGCTGCAGCTCCACTGTGTCTGGATCTGCGTGCCAGGTACAGAGGTGTGTGCAGCTTGTGAAACTGGAATACGCTATACACTTTCATATACTCATCCGCCACACTTCAGTAAAATCTTCAAAATAAGGGAACTCTCTCAGGATATAATTATATTCTGGCTTAATGTGTGAGAGTGGCTGGGCACGGCGGCACAAGAAACTGTAGTCTCAGTACTTGGGAAGCAGAGGCAGGAGGATCACTGCTAAGGATGAGGCCAGACTTAGCTACATAGCAGGACCCTTCTGTGATGGCTGTTCTTGGTTATCAACTTGACTATATCTGGAATTAACTAAATACCCCAAAATGGCTGGGCATACCTGTGAGGGATTTTTGCTTAATTAAATCATATGATGTAGGAAGATCCATTTCTAGCCTGGATCTTTGAGGTGGGAGGATACACTTTTAATCCAGATCTTTTGAGGTGGGAAGGCCCCTCTAATTGGAGCTACACTTTCGCTGGAAGCCTATAAAAGACCCGGAAGGCGGCTTCTCTCTTTGCCTGCTTGCTCTCAGCCTTGCCAGCAAGTCCATTCCTGCACTGGCATTAAAGCCTACTTCTTCAGGATTCCAGCACATTCTGAAGACCACCTGAGACATGCAGCCTTATGGACTGAACAACTACTGAATTCTTGGATGCTCCATTCATAGGCCACATTGTTGGATTAGTTGGATCACAGCCTGAAAGTCATTCTAATAAATCTCCTTTGTATAGAGAGGTTCACTCTGTAAGTTCTGGATACTCTAGAGAATCCCACTGTCTTAAATTTTAAAAAACCGAAATTAAGCAGTAAAAGTAATATATACTCTGACGTTTCGATTCTTAGTCAAACAGGGGCAAGGGGAGGATCCAGATTTCAAACAGAATCAGCTTCAATAAAAATGATGGTGGGCAGGAGCGAGGGCTCAGTGGTTAAGAGTGCTTGCTGCTCTTCCAGGGGACCCAAGTTTGGGTCTCAGCACGTGCATCGGGGCAGCTCACAACTACCTGTTAACACCTCCAGCTCCAGGAGATCTGACACCCCTTTCTGGCCTCCTGAGACACCTGCACATACGTGGTATACACACACACACACACACACACACACACACACACACACCCTTAAAGAGGCTGGAGAGATGGCTCAGCCCTTGCTGCTCTTTCAGAAGATCTGGGTTTGTGAGCCACATGGATGACTCACAAGTGTCCATAACTACAGGTCCAGGGGATCTGAACCCTCTTCTGGCCTCTATGGGTACTGCACAAACATGGTACACAGACATACATGCAGGGGGAATATTTATACACAAAAATACAACAAAATAATCTTTTTTTTTTTTTTGGTTTTTCGAGACAGGGTTTCTCTATTACTTTGGAGCCTGTCCTGGAACTAGCTCTTGTAGACCAGGCTGGCCTCGAACTCACAGATATCCGCCTGCCTCTGCCTCCTGAGTGCTGGGATTAAAGGTGTGCGCCACCACCGCCCGGCTAAATAATCTAAAAGAAAGAAAGAAATCTTTAAAATAAGAGATACATGGTTTCCAACTGACTTTTGACTATATGTGACATTTCAAAAATATTAGCTACTTCACTGAGATGTTGATTTCTACAGATATTGTCAGCTGTGTGATTTATACAGGTAAGTACTGAAAGGCTCTGACGTTGTCATTATCTTATCAAAGGACAGTCTAAGGAACCCAGTCCATTTTCTAATCCAAAATTTGGGGCTCCATCTGCCTCTTGAATTTGCATATAACTCTAAGGAGAGAACCAACTAGGAAGTAGTAATAGACTTGGTATCACATGCTGGACTGGGTCCTGAAAAGAGTCTGTAATCCCCGGACAGGTATAAACATTTAAAAACAAACAAGACAGAGAAGAAAAAGCAGTCACAGATGCCTTCGATAATGAAACTCTTGAGGTTGGCTATGTTGGTGCATGCTTGTAACCTAGCACTTGGGAAATTAAGCCATGAGGCTCAGAAGTTCAAGATCATCCTTGGCTACACATAGTGTCTGACCAGCATGGGCTACATGGGAATGCTCTCTTTCTGGCAGACAGCTTTTGCACCTCCCTGGACAGATTCAAGTATCTGTTATTTGACACCTAATAGGAGTTTATAGTTTTCCCTAACATCTAGCACAGTGATGGTAAAGAGCATTCAGTGACTATTACCAAATAAGCAAAGGGACGGAATCACTGATGGCTCTTACAGCCTACTTGGCTTCACAGTCGTATTCATTGTCTAAAACAACTGATTCCAAATAGATGGTTCTCAAGGCCATCTCACTCCCCAGTGTGCAGGCCAAATCTTGAGTGAGAGGTAGCTGGCTGGCCTGGATTTGTATAGCTCAGCCTGGCTTTGAACTTGTGATCTACCTCAGCCTCCCAAGTTCTGGGTTTATAAGATCAAGCCACTGCGCCTGGCTTGGGTGACAAACATGATGTCTGGCTCACACATAGCCGTGGTGGGTATCTTCTTTGAGACCACTAGCTCTTTCTTCCTCAAAGTCGCAGGCCACTTTCAGCCTGGGGCAGGAGATAGGTGTGATATGGAAGTGAGGTGCAGGTTTGCTAACAGTGGAGGTCAAGTTCTTTTTCTTTTTTCTGAAACTGGGTCTCACTATGTAATTCTGGCTGTCCTAGAACTCATTATGTAGATCAGGCTGGTCTTGAACTCACAGAGATCCGCCTGCCTCTGCCTCCTGAGTGCTGTACCATCACTACCTGGTTCAACATCCGTTTTATTTTTTTTTTAAAAAAAAGTCCTTGATGCCTCTTATGTAAGAGGTGCTGATTTCACATCTCTCAGGAATGCTGTACCCAGTCTCTGTTTCCTCAACACAACTCCCTTCTCCAGTTAACACTCCTGACTTTTCACGGGTTGGGATCCTAAGAATAAAGCCCTGTGGTAGCAGCTTTAAGTGTGAACTAAGTGTGAATCTTCAGGGCAAACTCCTGATTCATGATCAATCCTCACCAGGGGTTCTCTCTTTTTTAAGGACTTATTTTTATTTTATGTATATAGGTGTTTGCCTGCACATATGTATGTGCACCGGGTGCATACAGTGCCCATGGGGGGATCAGAAGATGGCATCAGATCCCCCAGAACTGGAGTGTCACATGGTTGTGGGTTACTGGATAGGTGCTGGAATTGAGCCAGGGTCCTCTGGAAGAGCAGCAAGAGATCTTAACCACTGAGACATCCTGTCAGCCCCACCAGATTTCTGATACCTTCAAAACATACGGTTCCTCAAAAAGAATGCCCTTG